TTTCCTGAGTTTCCGGTTCAAGCTCTTCAAACAGTGCCTGTCCATATGGAATATGCTCGTTTCCAAATATATGTTTTTGTAGCCATTCTGGTTTTCTTTCCATGTTACCAACTATATCTTTTGTGAATGGGAAAGCTTTTACCCAATCTTTCAGTCTTGCGTCGTTTATTTCTGTAGTTGGTTTTATTTTGTCAAGGAACATGTTTTTCAATACTAACATTTCATTTGGTACTGTCCATTTGAGTTTTCTTAAATATTCATCCCTTCTCAGGTTCATTGTCTGCAAAGTAAGTTTTTATGACATTTTGTAAACTTTCATTTGCAAGGTCATGTACAATAGGTTCTCTTCCTTCTCCTCCCTAACTTTCTTTCTAAACTCTTCACCAAATATACCATCTCTATGGTTCTGTGTAGTTCTTTGAGATAAATGTTCTAGAACGTCAGGTGTTATATTTCCATCAGCCATGTTCATTTCATACTGGTCCAAAATATCTGCATGTTTCATATCTTTCAATGGCATTAAAGCCGCGCTGAAAATACCAGCTATATCTGGTTCACCATTGACTTCCATTGCGTCTACAACTTCTTGGAATTGAGGTTGTAAGTTTATGAACCACCTATCCGGATTAGCTTTATGACCCCATCTCATTGTAGTTCCATCGTCTGCAGAAACAAAAGTAGGTTTGTTTCCATCTTGGCTAGGTTCTGAATGAACTTTAAACAATGTTTCATTTCTATATGTTTTCTTGAAATTTAACCTTTTATTTTCACCGAGTTCATCCAAAGATTGAACGTTAAATGCTCGTAAGTAAAAAGGGTTGTTGTATTTGTGTACATTTTCTTTCAGTACTTCCATTCTATGCTGAATATTTTCATCTGTGTTGGAGTCTTTTGTATGTCGGCAAACATTTTTCGATATTCTTCTACTATGTCAGCCGAATTTTTTTTAGACTCTTGGAAATATTCCATATTCTCCGCATACTCTTGTTGAGGGTCAAGATTTTTCGGCTGTTCCAAATCTTCATCTAGTTCTGTGAAGTTAGTTTCCAAAGGAGGACTTGTTCGTTTCCTTCAGGCTCTTCTAGCTGTTGTTGCTGAACTATTTCTTCCATGTCTGGTTGTATCTGAACTATTTCTTCCTGTGGAGTTTCTTGTACCTCATCTGCTGGCATTTCATATATTCCGAGACCGTTTTTAACAAGTTCCCTATTTAAGTCATCGCATTCATAAGCCTTTTTCTTTCGTTCCGTCTCTATTTTTTACGCGTTTCATGAAGATAGTTGAATTGTCATTTAGCTCTGACACCAAATATCTCGGAGTAAATTCGTTCATGTCATTTGGATGATATGCTATTAAATCATATCCCTTTGCGAGCTTGTATTTTCCAGGTTTGAAATTATATCCGATTTGGTGCTGAGCCATAAAGCTAAATAGGTTCGGGTCAGTATTTCCTTCCTTGAACTTTCGAATAGCTTCTTTATATCTGTCACTAAAGTCAATAGTATCTGGGTAACCATAGTCTTCTTTAAGCATTTTTAAGAATTCTTGGTTTCCTTGTTCTCTACTTCTTTTATGTCCTTGCTCTGTTTGTGGTTGTTGTTGTGCAGGGTTTTGAACTGTTGGTTGCTGTGCTGGTTGTGGAGGTGGTTGTTGTGCAGGGTTTTGAACTGTTGGTTGCTGTGCTGTTTGTGGTTGTTGTTGTGCAGGGTTTTGAACTGTTGGTTGTTGTGTTGGTTTTGGTGCATGCCTGTGTCTGTGTCCATGTGACGATGTAAATGTTTTAGGTAGTCCTGGTGCAGGTGCTTCTCTTGGAGGGTTTGGTGGTATATAAGTTCCACTAGCTAGTATATAAGTTCCACCAGCTGGTATATAAGTTCCACCAGCTGGCACATATGTTCCATCTGCAGCGTAATGTCCTACCTGACTTTTCGTTTTTAAGAAAGCATTTACTAGGTCTGTTTTGGTCTGTTGTAACTCTTTTTCTTGACTTTTCACAACAGTTGCTCTAACGGCGTCATAGGCACTTTGAACTGCCTGTCTCGTTGCTGCATCTGTTATTTTCGTCATATTTTGTGCTACTTCTCTTAACTCTTTGTCGAAACCTTCAGACTTCAGTTTCTTTCCAGATGAGAAGTCGTTCACTAGTTTCACCTTACTATGAAGAGCTTCGAAGGCGTTCTTAAAGTCAGCATTCGTTAAAGCTTCATTTGAACTGTCTTCATCCGCTTGTATTTTTGTCCTTATTGACCCTATGAGTTGGGCTGCTTTAGCGTTGGCTTGGGCATCTAACCAGTCATTGTTAGCTTTTATATATTCTGCGCTTTTCATTGCCTTTTGCATAGCCGCGTCGTTATTTTTACTTTCTTGTGCTAAGTTTTCATACTGTACGGTTTGGTTTTGCAACTGTAAAAGTTTTTCTGCCTTTACATTTGCTTCAACTTCTTTTTTATACTCATCGCTATCCATATATGTCTTCAGGGCTTTTTGTTTTATTTCTTCATCTTTCAGTACTTTATATTGAGTAGTATGGTTTTTCAAATTTATAACATCTTGTTCCATTTTTGCTACTTCTGCTGCTTTTTCTGACACTTTTTTCGCATATTCCTCTGTACTTAGTTCTTTCAGTTGTTCTTCTTTCTTCTTTTTCTCTACGTTTAACTCATTGAGTTTCTTTGTGTGTCTGTCATATTCTAGTTTCTTTTCGTTTTCACTTATTTGCTTCTGTATGTCTATGTTTGACTTTTTGACATCTGTTATTTGATTTTTGAGTGAACTCAAATTCATTTGACTTTGAGGGTTATAGCTGTTCCGTCTGCAGCTCCACCATAGCCTGCCATTTTCGCTAAAAGTGCCGCTCTTAAACCTCCACTCTGTGCACCAATAACTCGGTTTAAAAGCATAGGGTTGCTTGACATTTGTTGCAACATAGTGGGGTCATTCATCATTTGTTGTTGCAACTGTTGTTGTGGTGTCAGTTTTACTATTGGATGTTTCAATGCTCCCTTCCTCTTACGTATATTCTTACGTAGCTTACGTGGCATTTTAAGTGAAGTTAAAAAGCGGTTTTTGACAGATGTTTATATGACACTTTTGTTCAGCACAAAAAACTACTCGGTCAAAGTGTTGTCAGTTTTGTAAAATAACCGTCCTATCTGTTTCTATAAGGGAAAAGGCTTCTCAAAGTATACTTCCTTGGAACGCCTGTAACTTTTCCTGTAGCGACGATAGACCCTTACTTGTCCGGACAAAGTTATACTATTTTGAATGCTCTACAAAAAAGTCAACGGCGACGACTCTCAAAAACCGTTGTGTAAAAAGTTTTACCGTTTGACAAAAAAGTATATATAGAAAACAAAAAACGTTTATAGTTCATTCAATATTTGAGATGGAACGGTTTGCCAACGGTAACTATTAAATAAAATAAAAAAATAGAGGGGGTTACCGTTGACGAAAACGGTTTATTTTAAACTTTTCTATGAGTAGTCCGAAAAAAACAGTTCATTTTTGTCTAATGTACGCGTCTCGAACAGTGAAGCCCAATTCAATAGAATACTATCTCGAAAAACAAGAAGCTGACACTGCTATTCAGTCTTTAATACAGAACCAAGCTCAGGAGAACTCAAAAGACTCCCAATTCAAATCGACATCCAATTCGAAGCAATTAAAACTTGACTCGAATGTTTTAAAACCACAGCCCGCACGAACAAATACAGCTCTAAGAATAGACCAAAGAATACCGAACAAAGAGTTGAGGTCAAGATTGAAATTACAATCGGATGAGTATTTTTCCCTTAACAACCAGGGAAATACTCCATATAACCGTATCTACACAAATACCGTTAAAGAAACAATAACGGCATACACAAAACTCTGTCAATTGGTCCCCAACCAGGACCAATTGACGGACATTATATGTTCCTACCTTCCCATATTTGCTGAGTGTGTGGAAGGTAGGACATTGTTACAAGCTTGCTTACGTATGCCACCAAATCTCCGTCAACAATTTGCTCAAATTGTACATGAATTTAAAGCTTTTAACAACGGATACGATGAAGATGAAGTAGCAGATGAATTTGGGGAAGAAAAAACATTTTTCCCCTCATATACTACGCCTGCAACAGTATTTCCTACTAATGAATTTCACAACTATTGTGTCGTTCATTTAATTGTTGTGGATATGCCCACAGGTGAAGACATTCTCAGTGGTGACTTCATCGAAGTCTGTATCAATACAGAATTGGGAGAAGATGAGTTGCACAAATTCTCCAACGTCGAACATATATTCAAACCAGCACACCAACTCTTTATCGAAACTGAAATAACACTCACACAAAATATGTCCATCTCATTTAAATCCAAATCAGGACGTCCATACAGAATTTGGATGAACTACGTCCTCCTCCACTACGCCGACGATGACGAAGAAGAGGAAGAAGAGGAGGAGGAAGAAGAAGAGTCCTCCGAATTCACACCAGAAGACTAACAATTTTCCGAATAAAAACTTCATTTATACTAAACATCTTCGGGGCTAGAAGGGGCGCAGCCCCTGGAAGCCCCACTACCTTTTTTTTTTTTTTTTTTTTTTTTTTAATCTAAGTTGCCATCTGTGATGCTTCCTATTCTGTTACAACTATTATAGCTTACATTAAAATTCATATTCAAAATTTCAAAATTTTATAAATTGATCGATACCATGATTTTAATAATATATTTGTTTGTGCTTTTAAATTTCTTAAGCTTTCAAAATTTAAGAGAATTGATAACTTAATACAATATGATCTCAATGATATATTAATTAATAATTTGCAAAATTTTAAAAAGTCTTCTCAAAACTAAATTCAATGCCTTTCAATCGAGATTTTGAGGCAACTTTACTATCTCAGTATGTGCTAGTCTGTCTAAACTATTATAAGAGAGTTGTTACAAAGAAGCATAAAATAATCGTCCGGCCAATAGAGCTTTCAATTGGCCGATAATACTTTTTTACGCGACTGTATTTGATGAAAACAATGAAATCCAATCACGATTTTCAGAAATTAATGCCAAAACGCATATCAACTATCAATAATTTACACTTTGATCAATCACCTGGTGATGTTTGGGAACTCTTTTACAATACATCATCTAATTCAGAACCAATTCAAGGTACAAATGTTCAGGCAGCATCAACGAATAATGAATGTTTCTTATATAACTGTATATTCATTGATATTACAACTAATAGTGCAATCTCTTTTTCTGAAGCAAACAATAAGTTTCTTAACTCTTATTGTTCATTTAATAACTGCAGCAGTAATACAAATGGTGGATCTATCTACTTTCAGTGTAATAGTTCCATTGTCCAATACCGAACATGTGGCTGCAAATCAGAAACAAACTATGAAGATGGAAATGGACATCATTCATATGTTTGGTTAATTTCTAGTTCAAATAATAAAAATAATCTTTATTTAAGTTCTTTTTATGAATGCGGAAATTTAGGAAAGCCCCATACAAATAATCTTTGTTATGGAAATATTGAAGTTAAATCAATCAACACAAGTTTCTGTGAAGCACACTATGGCTCAGGAATATGTCTAAGTGATCCAACAAGTCTAAGTAACGTAACATATTCATCATTTTGTAACACAACATCAAATTATTTTATTTTAGATTTAGCTAATGGTAACTATAATTTTAATTTTTGTAATGTTTTGAATAATGAGCACAAAGAATCTGTTTATGGAACATTCTTTGCATTTGGATCAACTGTTCTTATTGAAAACTGTTCATTTCTTGGAAACACAGGACCAGGAGTAGAATTTTGTCAATATCTTCGTGGTTCAATTACAGTTAAAGATTCTTTCTGTGACCGAATAATAGATAAAACATATGAATCAGTTACAACAAATAATGTTGAAAATATATATTCTATTCATCATCTTTCTCACTTTTCTTCATATCTTTGTGAAGCAAAGTTTCCTATTGTTGATAAAAAACCCACGGCATCTGCATCCGATGCGTTTCATCAATTATCATTCATCGTTAGACGAGTGCGTTAATTTTTCATGATTTTTATTGTTATCATCATTTATTAAAAATATTTTTTTTTACAAACAAAAAAAAAAATAAAAAATAAAAAAACACATTTATTTAAAAGAAGATTAATAATATCTTCGTTCTTTGTCTGGAGTGTGACATCTTTAGCTGTGTGTCCTTCGCTGTCAACAACACTCAAATCGAGATCTTCACGAGAAAGGAGAACTTTGACAACTTCGACTTTTTCGTTTTCAATAGCATTGAAAATAGGAGTTCACTTCATCAAGTTCTGACGGTTGACATCGACATTTTCGTGTTGAAGCAACTCTTCGACGAAACTAGTTGAGCCACATTTGGCTGCAACATGGAGAGGTGTCCACTGGATTGAGTCGACGCAGTTCAAGTCAACGTCATCTCTATCTGCGAACAGACGGATTAAGTCTGAGAAATCATTTGATGCAGCGATGTGAAGAGGTGTGAAACTGGAATCGTCAGGAAGTTGTGGATTGACATCTTTGTCGTTCAGAAGACACTCAACGTACTGTTTGTGGTGGAGAAGAACTGCGTAATGAAGAGCACTGCGATTCTTTTTTTTTGCTTCTTTATCAGCACCAACAGAGATAAGATATTGAACAACTTCAAGATGACCATTACATGATGCATAAATGAGTGGAGTATATCCATTTTCATCCTTTGCTTCTTTATCATCACCAACAGAGATAAGATATTGAACAACTTCAAGTTCACCACATTTTGATGCACAAATGAGTGGAGTATATCCCCAATAATTCTTTGCTTCTTTATTAGCTCCATTAGAGATAAGATATTGAACAACTTCAAGATGACCTTCCCTTGATGCCAAAATGAGCGGAGTATGTCCTCATTCACGAAGTCATTTTTTATATAATAAATCTGATAAATGTTTTAATTAATAAACAACAATAAAAAAACAAATTTAATCATCTTCAAGAACAAATTGACTTTGTTTTCTCTGAGTCATAGAAGCATTTCCAGAAGCAGGTGAATGGTATTCTTCTTGTGAATCAAATGATGACTGTGACAGCAAAAACAGGGAAGTTTGGATTGATCTTTGTGGTTCTGGGAAATCACTCATCATTGGGATGATTCCGCTCAAGAAGGCAATGAAATCTGAGTCCCTGACGAATTGGACGACTTCTGGTTTGTACATTGTCCAAAGAGACATAATTAACTGTACAGCGGCAGCAATCAAATCGGGAATGAGTAGTAAATCGTTTGCAAGTATCAAATATATTCTGTTAAGTATTTGTCTGTAAATCAATCGAAGTTTCTTCATATCGCAAGCATCAAGCAGTTTCAAACAAAGAGTAATAACTACAGGGCCTTGTCTCTCACTCAATAGTGGTAAAACGGCGTTCTGTATGTCTTGTTCTTGTACACATGTAGGAGATTGGCTGAGTAAGGCAATTAATGTCCAAAGAATGGTTGTTCTGCCTTTTACAGCTGAGCTCAAGTCCTGCATCAAACAGGAAATAATCAGGGACTTTTGGGAAATGTTTGCGTTCTGAAGAGCGCAATTTCTTAAAATTGTCAAAGCAACGTACTGATTATTGCAAACTGGACTCAAGAAGAGCTGCGAGAAGACACCTAGTAAGCCAGCTTCTTGTAGAATTGTACAGCCTTCAGATGAATTTGATAAAGCTCCAACAAGAAGAAGAGCGTACTTCTGGAGCGAATCGATGGATAAGCTGCTAACTAGAATCTTCAAAATATCGTTCATCATAGCTGTATCTAGAACAAATTGTTTGCAAAGTACTAATGCGGTCAAAATTTGAAGTCTTTGGCCGGTGAAAGTCTTGACTTCGAACAGAGCTGCGAGTGCTGGATGGTTGGCGAGTCTTGGAGCTATTGTTGGGATGTTAGCCATTCTAAATAACAGTAAAAGTGCAGTTTGTACGCATTTTCCTGACGACAAAAGTCCTTGTATGTGATCAAGGATCCTATTGTCATCGGCAAGTGTCTCTATCTGCTTATCCGTACACTTGTTTATTGCAGTACAAAGAGGCTTGCTGATGTCACTTTTTTCAGCGGCCGAAATAAGTGAAGTGACCAAATCAGTAACTTTATCTGGATTTAGATTGTCGACTAAGAACTGAGCAAAGTTTTCAGGAACAGAAAGTGAAACATCGAGAAGAGAAAGAAGATTTGCAATATTCTTCAGCTGATTAGCAATGAAAGGTATGATATAAGTAATAGCGTTAAGTGTTTCTTGTGTTTCGACAATTGATGTTGGTTTTGAGAAGAAATCTACCAATTGTTTTTGGTATTTTTGAACTTCACCTTCTCCACCTGCAGCAACTAGTCTGAGAACATAAGGAGCGATAGATTGGTCGTCGAGTTTTGAAACAAATGTCTTTGTGTACTTGCTAACTAAACTTGTGTGAGGAGAAGGAACAGAAATGCAGAAACGGATGGCTGCAGTGATTTGCGCTGGTGTTCCCTTGGCAAGGATCATCTCAATGATTGGTCCGCCGACGTTTTGGATGAATTTCGGAAATTCATCCGGTTGAAGTAGCTTCGATGAGGCCAAGAGTACTTTATCTGGATGGACAGAGTCCTTAGTATAATTGTCGACAATACGGGATGTCCTTATTCTGTCTAATAATGAAGGAGATACGTTATCTACGAAGAAATCAACAAGTGTTGAGAAAGCTGGGTTGTTAGGCTCAGTCAGGACACGAACGGTATGGTCCTTATCGATCGGCGGATAGTCTTTTCCGGCTTCCAATTGGACACGATCGTTTGGAGTTCCGAAATAGACCTCCCCCTTCTTGAAAAGTGCGACAATTTCCTCGAACTCAGGCCTTTCTGCTGGATTTTCGGACCAGCAACGAGTAATTAGGCGTCGAAGACTGTCAGGAACAGTTCTAGAAAGAGGAAGGCGCCAGCCGCGGTTAACAACGTGGTCAATGATCTCTTTGTGTGTCTTCTCGCGGAAAGGAATGAGACCTGTTTCCATTTCCCACAAAACGATACCGAAAGAATAAGAATCTACCTTTGGACCATAGCGTTTACGGGCAAGTACTTCAGGAGCTGTATAATGCGGGGTTCCAAGAGTTCCGTAAAGATCTTTATTGTCTCTCATATTTCCGGAAAGACCGAAATCTGCGATTCTCGCTGCATCGCTTTCATCGAGAAGAATATTCATGGTCTTGAGATCACGATGTACGATACCGTTCGAGTGCAAAAACGCCATTCCGCTCGCAACTTGGTAAGCAAGGGCTGTAAGACGGGCAGGAGGGAGTGGATGCTGAGGACAACGATGTATACGGTCGAATAATGAGCGTCCCGGACAGAATCTTGTAATAATACGATAAGGTTCTTTGATATGAGCACCAACGAGTTCCAATACGTAACGATTCTTGAGGTTTGCCATATTAGCAACCTCTGAGTAAAGAGATGCCCACGTAGAAATCGATAATTTGTCACTTCTGACTTCTTTAACTGCAATTAATTCTCCTGTTGAGATTCTTGTTCCCATAAATACAGTGCCGAAGCCGCCAGATCCGAGGGTCTTTCCGACAATGATATCTTCGCATGGAATATCAATGGAACGGAATTGATTCAAGGCATCATCCATTCTGAACCTGATTTGTTCCATTGGAGCGCCTTCCGTAGTTGGGTGATGCATGCCGACTGTATCTTGATTCTTCTTTGGCAAATGTCGATTGATCGAATAAAGTCTTGTTTCAATTAACTGTTGAACATCAACGGCGTTCTCAATTGAAATACTTTTTTGCTGAACTTCGGTAAGAGCTTGCTTAAGGTGCTGAAAATCTGCAATTTTATTGACAGTATCTTGGATTTGATCGTATTGTAAAACTTTATCGGGATCTAATGATAATAATTGGCAAATTTCAATAAGAGATTTTCTAAAATTATCAATGTATTCATGGACATGAGTTGTAGGCCAGTTTAAACATGTCCTAATCCAATTCGATCCTAAATTCGGTATAACTGTTGAAAAATGAGCGACTAATCCTGTGAACCTTTCCAAGGCCACTATTTCTGACTGATTAAGCGATTTGTTTTTTAAAGGTTGAATCGCAGATAAGAAAGATCTGATTTGTTGAAGAATATATGCAATGGAAGCACGATAAACTATTGTATCCTGAGCCATAAGAAAGATATTGTTTGCAACTTTTACGCATTGAAACAATTGATCTCCGGATTTTTCAGGAAACATTAAAAAATTATTACAAAAATATAAAATAATATGGGGGGAGTAACACAATGAGAATTTATAAAAAATTTGAATTAATGAATTAACAAAGTATTAGAAGGAACTTCACATTTATTACCTGTTTTAATAGAAAACAAAGGATTTTAGGCTTAGATAAGATATTCTTGATTAGAATTAGGTTATTTATCTAAATCATTTTGTTTTTCACTATAACATTAGCAACGTAATAGGAAATCTTTCGAAATAATAAGCCTCTGCATAATTTATTAGTTGATTTTGTCATAATTAATTTTTGAGAAAAACCGCCGAGCTTAACGTACACTAAATTTTCAATAACAATGTGGAGCATTAGTTCGAATATTCAATGGAAAACTCAAACGCAACCAGCAGCTAAAGAGGGTGTGACGACTCGTAAGCCCTTACAAAACATTACAAATCGAAATAACACTTATACGCCACCAGAAAAAATGTATTTGGCAGTAAAGCCACAGGAAAGGCCTGCAGTTAGATTTAACTTTAAACAAGACGATAATCCTATTGAAGAAGATATTCCATTTATGATGGATCAGGATCAAATTATTAATAATGATGACATTGACGATATTGTTTGGTAATTTCACTCTCGGCTATTGTTTGTAAATCAATTTCTGTTCACTTTAAATACATTCTTTTTACAAATTTTCGGATCAACAAAAATATAAGATATTTATACTATATATGAATATCAAATCATATCTCTCTCTTACATGTTCCGGATAATTGCTGAATATACTGATACTATAATCTATATGTTTCCGATGAGCAATTGATTACAACTTATTTCAATTTTTAATAGAACCAAATGAATAATTTTGGCATCTATATGCATATTAGTAATATAGTAGTAATAAAAATGGATTTAATAAATAAATATTATTTAGAATCTTTAAAAAGAAAAAAACTGCACAAATTATAAATCATTTCAGATGCTATAGATCTTATTCTCGAATTTTTCGTTTTCGAGTTTGCCACCGAAATACTTGTTCATCAAAGCAACGAACGTATCCAAGGTGACCAAGGCATCTGAGCCAGCCTGGTGAGCTGGACCAACACGAGGAACGTTGAGCTCGTTAGCGAGAGCCTGAAGACCACCGCCCATGAGATCCATGTTGCTTGCGATAAGTTTGATATCGTAGTAATGTGGGAATAATATGTTGAGCTGGGCGTTGAAATCCTTGACGTCTGGTGGGAGTGGCTTGCAGGTGAGCATCTTGAGCAAGTAGGCGAAGTCAGAGACTGAGTGATATGTTAAGTAGGTAATTCTGTCATTCATGACGAGGCCTGACGTGTAGAGCAACTGAGTGAAATCAAATGGCGAGATACCCTCGTTATTGAATCTCTTGAAGTCAATTCCGGACTGCTGAAGAAGCTCAATGGATTCAGAAGTGTACATATCTTCATCTAAGTTGAATTTGAAGTTAAATTGCCATGTGGAACATGGTTGAGGATATCCACCTTGACCGTCTCCAAGAGTTATACCGATCTGAATGATTTTGAGATAATCTACGTTAAGTCTTGTGAGCTGATATACGTAATCTTCTTGTGAACTGAAAGATCCAAATGGTTTTGCAATTTGGCCAGGGAATTCTGTATCCATAGCAATGTATGGATAGTCTTCGATTAGTTCGGAGATCTTTTTCATCTCATCTTCGAGATTGTGAGCCCAAACATCACGGATATTCTTTTCCATTAAATTTGGTATGCCCCCTAACTAAAAATTGAGAGACTATCATGACACCTGAATAAATCGAAAAACACTAAAGAATGGATATTTCAATAAAATTTATAGATATTTAATTAAGTTACATGATGTACATGCAATTAAGCTTATTTACTCGAATTTTTAGATTTTCATATTCGAATTTTATAACGTATTTTTTTGTAGATGGATTTCCTCTGGCTGAACGATCTTTCTACAGAGTTCGAAGGATTTGGAATTGCGCCAACCAAGTCCGAGATTGTTGCAATGCGTTCATCAGTATCATTACTTTGCGAAAGATCTTATCATGATTTAGTTCATTTCTGGGGTAAAATTAAAGGAACAGAAAGAAATTATTTAATTGTTGTATGTTATACAGGAGGTCTTCTTGGAACTCGTACGCCATACGCTTCATTAGATGGTGTTTCTTGGTTTGGACTTCCAACTGTCACTCAAACACTCATTTCTCATGTTGCAAACATTCGCGAACCTATTAAAGGCCAACCTCTTTCTAAGATTACCGTTCGTCATCCAAGAAATACAGAACCTTTCAAAGAATTAAATCCACTACTTCCACCAAAACCAGTCAAAGAAGGCGAAGAAGAGGAAGAAAAGGCTGAGGAGGAAGAAGAACAAAAAGAAGAGGAACCAGAAAACGAAGAAGAACCAGAACCAGAGGAGGAAGAAGAAGCTCCAGAATACGTTGAGTTTCAAATTCACGAAGATCAGCGTCTAGCTGTTCTTGTGCACATAATTGACAAGCATGGATTCATATTCCCACAAGATTCTCTTCTTTGGAAGTCTACATTCGAACTTAAACCGAACCCACTCTTCAAAGGTATTCCACACGATGCAAAATTAGAAAATTTCTTCAGATTTAATAAGGATGTTATGTCAGATACACAGCGTCCCAATGCAATTGTTGACGCGATGCCTCCTTTAACAGGAGAGCTTCCACCTAATGGATGGATTGTCTCTACAACTACACACTCTAACGTGGTTAAAGTTAATTCACGTGTATGGCCTGGCTTAGTTTTTATCTGCAAAGGTAATAAATGGGGTACAGTCTATTTTGGCAATGGTAAGCCAAATACAGATTACTTATTTGCGGTTGAAGGACTTGAAAAGAAAGAAGAAGTCAAGTCTTCAAGAATAGTGTACAATTAATTTTCTTTTTTTTTATTATTATTTATTTAGTATCTGATTATATAAAATTTGCTCTTGTTTCTCAATTTCATGAATACTATTTCTGGTGTTTTGAAAGAGCTTGAATGCCAAATCTAATTTAAAATTTATTCAGTTAATTCAGCAATTTTCCAAATATTTTATAGGTCACTATCGATTTTTGTGACACCCTGATTAATATTATCTTCTCCATTACTCATTTTGTAAATATGAGTCAAATTTGATCATTTCGCAATTTCGAAACATAAGGTTCTTTTTTCTCACATATATCATCAGCAATGCGACACAAATATTTTTCACTGTTGGAGAAATGATCTATCTCTTCATTCGGATAATGCGTCAATTGATATATCGGGAAAACGGTTTTGACACTAAAATCTATGTCATATAAAATGAATTTCTCGCCGTACGGGAATGCATCTCCATACGCCGCTCAAGGCAGTATGATGACAAACACGAATGTCGCAATTCAGCATCGTAATAATGAAAAGATGCTTCAACTCGTCAGAAGATTAACGTTATCTCCAAAAGAAAGAGCGGAAGCGCTTCATATTTTAAGTGTGCAACGCGAACAAATACCTGGTTTAGCGCCATATCTATGGTATTCACCAGCAACTATCACTGCTTTATTATCAGAAATAATTTCAATTTATCCTTATCTTGCTACTAACAATTTAAACATTCCTCTTTCAAACAGGGTATGCAATGTTTTGACCCTGTTCCAATGCGTTGCAGGGCATGATGAAACAAGAACTCCTTTCGTTAGAGCAAATATTCCAATTTATCTCTTCCCATTCCTTCATCAAACATCTCAGTCCAGAGAAGCCGAATACTTCAAATTAACATCTCTCGGTATCATTGGAAGCCTTGTTAAGGCAGAACAACCGGATATAATTGAATATTTGCTTAAAGCAGATTTTGTTCCACTTTGCTTGAGGATTCTCCAGTTCAGTCAGGAAATCTCACGAACTGTCGCTGCATTTATCATCCAGAAGATTTTATCTGATGCTGGAGGCAAAAATTACATCTGTTCTACAAGAGAACACATCGAAACAGTTCTAAAGGTCTTGAATCGCGTTGTTTGCGACTTGACACGCGATTTTTCAAGCCGTTTGGCGAAACATGTGATCGGATCTTACCAAATCCTCTTTGAAATCAAAGAAGTAAGGAATCTCATCGCGTCCCTTCTCCCTGCTGAACTTAAGGACGCAAAATTCTCTCCAAATACTGATGAACAGTTCAAGAATTTAGTTACTACTTTGCAGAACATGACTACATCGGCCAAGGCTGGTGTACAACCATTAGTTTTCTCAATCAATAAGAAAGATTGAAAAAAAATTATCATGCGGCTTTAAAACAATAGAGTATATTAATTTTTTTTTTTACATTATAATTTAAAAAGTATATTCCACGTTACACTTTTTGAATATAAGGTTGAAAGTTTGAAAGCAAGTTGCTCTTTGTCTCCCACTATATTACCCCTGAAAGTTTCGCCTTTACTAGTCAATCCTATATCTAGAAAACTTTATACTTTTAAAACGATATTTCCTTTAAAATAGTTTAATAAACAGTAATTTGCAAAATTGTTGAAATCTTCCATTGATTATCCCGTTTCAATTTTGAAACAAGTGACACAGGTTACAAAGTTGACTGCGAAATTCAGGTTCCAATAAAATAAAATGAGTTTTAGGGTGAAAACTCAATGAGAGGGGAAAAACATTCAAGAATTAGCTATTGTAGCTACCAAAAAGCAAAGTAGATTTTAGCAAAGTATTAATTTTTACAAGACAATGGATATTATTGTCAAAAACTAAAAATTATAGAATACAAACTAATGATGTATTGTCTTGGAATTGAAATTATATTTGATTACTTAGCACCTACGGACTCTAGATAGCGTTTTACATTGCCTGTTGCGACAGAGAGTGGAGTATATCCATTTTTATTCTTTGCTTTTTTATCAGCTCCAATAGAGATAAGATATTGAACAACTTCAAGATGACCCCATAGTGATGCTCTAATGAGTGGAGTATCTCCATTATTATTTTTTGCTTTTTTATCAGCTCCATTAGAGATAAGATATTGAACAATTTCAAGATGACCACGTGATGAGGCTATAATGAGTGGAGTATCTCCATTATTATTTTTTGCTTTTTTATCAGCTCCATTAGAGATAAGATATTGAACAATTTCAAGATGACCACGTGATGAGGCTATAATGAGTGGAGTATTTTCATTATTATCCTTTGCTTTTTTATCAGCTCCATTAGAGATAAGATATTGAACAATTTCAAGACGACCTTCTTTTGAGGCTATAATGAGTGGAGTGGATCCATTTTTATCCTTTGCTTCTTTATTAGCTCCAACAGAGATAAGATATTTAACAACATCAAGATGGCCTCTGGTTGATGCGTAAATGAGTGGAGTGGATCCATCATTATTCTTTATTTCTTTCTTAGCTCCAACAGAGATAAGATATTGAACAATTTCAAGATGGCCAAATATTGATGCCCAAATGAGTGGAGAATATCCAAGATTGTTCTTTGCATCTTTATTAGCTCCAATAGAGATAAGATATTTAACAACTTCAAGATTACCATTAGATGATGCATAAATGAGTGGAGTAATTCCATCATTATTCTTTGCTTCTTTATTAGCTCCAACAGAGATAAGATATTTAACAACTTCAAGATGACCTTTTATTGATGCGTAAATGAGTGGAGTATTATCCCATCCACTTTTTGTTTCTTTATCACAACCGCATTCTATCAGAGATTTAACAAGTTTTAAATTCCCTATTTCACTTGCGACAAGAAGGACATTCATTTCATCATCAAATTCAGATTTTTTGAATTTCTTTGTCCAAAGTCCTTCTTCGCATGCTTTAGAAATCATATTTTGATTTCCTTGAGATGAAAGTTCATCAAGGAATTTGTATATACTTACGAAATCACCTGATTTTTTAAGTTCTGAAATTTTTGATAAAATTTCATTCTCTTTACTGTTTTGTTGTTTAATCTGATTGATTTTCTGAGCGTTATTTTCATCAATTTGTTTGAGTTGAGATTGAAGTAATTTTATTTCGTTGTCACTTTTTAATTTTTGTTTTTGAATTTCGTTTAGCTCTTTTTGAAGATTTTGGATTTTCTCTGTAGAGTCAAACATTTCTTTTGCTTCGTGAACTAAAAAGTCAATAATGCCATTAAGTATTCCGAGTTTCATGTGTTTTTTGATTGATTTAAGTGTTGAAATAACATCTTCTAGGTTTTCGATATAAATATTAGAATTTCAAACACATGCATATAATTTATATCCTTTGATAGTATGACTGGACTGCTTGAGAAGAGTAATGAAGTCGTTTGCTGTTAAATTTGAAATCTTCATGATCTTTTTGATGTCTTCACTTTCAAATACATCAAAGAAATTACCTTCTTTAATGTAATCACTGATGTGAGAAGCGATGTATTCATAATTCTGAATAATGCCTTGACTCATGAAATGAGAAATCGTAACTTTACAGAAAAGTCCGACTCGGATTTGTTGAATTTCGGAGCTTCAAATTAGGAATATAGTAAATAGCATATATCACATATTAATAGTAAGGGTTTAACTGGTCTCAAACTACTTTTATCATTACCATAAGACAATTGTCCCAAAAACAAACTAAAAAAATAAAAACTTAGATAAATAAGCAAGATAAAAATAATAAGGTCATATAACTAATTCTTGAAGAATATCTCCGATTAGATTAATTATTGTCAATAGATTCTAGATACCATTTTACTGGACCTTGTGCACATTCCAGTGCAGTGTATCCACTATTATTCTTTCTTTCTTTTTTAGCTCCAACAGAGATAAGATATTGAACAACTTCAAGATGACCATTTTTTGATGACCAAATGAGTGGAGTATATCCCTTTTTATCCTTTGCTTCTTCATCAGCTCCATTAGAGATAAGATATTTAACAACTTCAAGATGACCATTTCCTGATGCCCAAATGAGTGGAGTATCTCCATTTAAATTATTTGCATCTTTATCATCTCCAATAGAGATAAGATATTTAACAACTTCAAGATGACCTTCACTTGATGCATAAATGAGTGAAGTTTCTCCATGATCATTTTTTACATCTTTCTTAGCTCCAACAGAGATAAGATATTAGGCAAAATCGCAACCGAATTTTTAAATCTCGATCGCAAAGAAAAATTTCGATTTTTTATAAAATCGCGAACTTCTGAAAAATTGCGAACAGAAAAAAATCGCGATTGTTTTTGAAATCGCGTTTTATTAGAAGTACGCGATTTTATAAAAAATCGAAATTAGATTAAAATATAGCGTCTAAAACCAAATTGCGAACAAGTTATGTATTGATTAAGAAAAATATATTTAAGATGAAGAATTGCTTGCTATGATGTACTGATTCATGATCAGTACATCATAGCAAGCAATTCTTTACATGAAGTTCGAAAACTTGGGTGCAATCAGATCTGATTGCACCCAAGTTTTCGAACTTTGTATAGGGAATTAAAGGGTGAGAGATATATAGTCTATCTATATATCTCTCACCCTTTAATTCCACCTCTGTAAGCGATAAAATTTTATCAAATATTTTATACTACGAGAAATTATGGCTTTGTTTCATAGACGTATTGAATTTACCGATTGTGTTAAAATGAGATCGCTTAATCTTTAAATTTATTAAGTTAATCAAATTTTTGATTAAACGCAACGATGTTTTGTGAAATCAAAACGATAAATATTCAATGCAAACGCACCTGAGCTATGTTCCTTTATTGCAGCCATTAAACATTTGTCTGGCTCACAATTTGAGAGCACTTCACCTAAATAATGCTATAATGAAAATTGAATTAATAAAAATCGTTTCTTCAAATAAACTTCACAAATATATTATCATTATGTGAATTTTTACTTATAAAATTAAATACATATTTAGTTTCTAGTATTTTTTTTTCTATTGTCATTCAAAATATAGCTACAAAACGAAGAACCATAATTTTGATAAACACTAAATGATAATATGATTTATAATATAAATAAAATATTTTCAAGTCCAATAAATCAAAATTGATATTTTTAAAAAAACTAATTAAGAATTCAGTGATAATTTTATCAAATATTACAAGACAATATGATTTATAAGCAGAATAAAATATTTATTATTAAATTTGAAAAAACACTTTTTTATAAAAAAAAATTCGGGCTATTTATCTTATATATATATTATACAATGATTTGACATATATAGTATAATAGAAATATCATAAAAACTAACATCCATTCGAATAAAATATATTTTGTCCATTTACGAGTCATCAGCAATATAAGTTATACTATAATTTTCCACTTTACATCCAGAACTAGTGCATATCGATGGCTTCGATGGCGTTTTATCGATTTATCACAGGCGAAATCATTATCAAGAAGTCATCGGCAGCCATTTCATTCTAGAATATCGAACTATTTGCTTACAATTTAATTTAAAATCATCTGATAATTTTATATTTTATAGGTGTTATATTCACAATGATATATATTTTATAATATTGAACATGAGTTGAACAAATCTCCACCTTACTGAAATAATATATGTTAATTGAATTCTTATAGGTCTATTGAAATCATATATGTCTATTGAAATATTGTATGCCTATTGAAATTTTATATATCTTTAGAAAAATTGTAAAATAATTCAAATTTTCAAGAAAGAGCATTTGACTTCATTTATGAATAAGAAAAAAGGTCATTCGTCCTCAAGCCAAAGAGCTGCTCAATCAGCATCACAGAGGACCCAAGCTCCAAGTACTACGCCTGTACAAAGTCATTCATCACATCAGAATACTGCGCCTGCACAGAGTATTTCACCACATCAAAATACCACGCCCGTACAAATTGATCCACCACATCAAAATACCACGCCCGTACCAAATCCTGAACCACTTCAAGATACAGATGATCCAATAGCATTTTTTGCTCAAAGGGAAATCGATTACATCGCCACTTTTGCTGACGCTCCAATAATTCCAGATCCTCCAAAAAAACAAAAAGAACCACTTAAAATAAGAATAGAAGAAATTTTACACAATGACGATAATAATACATTAATTAAATTAACAAATCTTACGTGCAAAGATTTTCGAGATCTTATAAGACTTTTCATCCCTTCAATTGAATTACATCATTATAAGAATACTAGGGTTTCAATGGAAGCACGTTTATTAATTACATTAACATGGCTTAAACACGCTCCTGGATTCGAAGAATTGGCCGATAAATTCGGTATCAAAAAGACACACACAAGGCAAATTATCATTGATGTGATCGATGCAATTGGTTCTAAAATCGGCCGAGAATATGTGAAATGGCGATCATTTATTAAATGGGATGATCGCGAAAAATCAAAAGAATATCCTTATATGTTGGGAGCACTTGATGCCACAGTTCAAGAGATACCCAGAAGTGCCAATCAAGAAAAATATTATTCAGGCAAACATAAAATATGCTGCATCAAAACTCAGTGCTTTGTAAGCCCAAAAGGATTTCTTTTACATTATTCCAAACCAATCAGAGGAAAGAGACATGATTTTCATTTGTTTAGGAAATCCAACACATTGATAAGCAAATTAAAAGCAGAAGCAGATAAGATGAAAGCAGAAATCGATCAAATACCAGTCCTTTTGGCAGACTCTGGCTATCAAGGAATTCATCAAATTATTCCATGGGCATTAATTCCATACAAGCGCAGAAAAAATAGCGAATTAACTGCTGAGCAGAAGACATTCAATAAAAAATTGTCAAGCAGCAGAATAATTGTGGAAAATTACTTCTCCAGACTCAAACAATATTGGAGAGTAATTGGAGGAAAGTGGCCCTTACATGTTGATAATGATCTCACTTTTTATCACAAAACATTTGGCATGTGCGCTGGCTTGACAAACAAACTCTTGTACAGGAGGCCACTTCGTAAAGGCGCAGAAAAATGGGATTTCCTTGACTTAGACAGCATGGATGAAACAACAGATGCATATAATTACACAGATTCAGCTTCAGAGAGTGATAGCGCCAACTTATATTTGAGTAAAAAAATATCTTTTATATTAATATAATTTTTATTCAACATAAAAAATATTAAATAATAAAAATATTTTTTAATATTTGCTAATGTCAAAAATGATTGAAAAGTGACGGCGGTTTGCGGTTTGACATGATATGAGTTGATTGGATATTTTATTTTTGTTCACCTGAAAGATATTATTGGATATTATTGAAATAATTGTAATAAAAGCAATATTAGTAATGATTGTCAAAATTTGTTTGAAATGTGACAACGGTTTGCGGTTTGACATCTTATTTGTTAATACATTTCAAACGAATTTTGACAATCATTACTAACATTGATACACTTCCAATAATTACATTGTTGATCCACTTCCATCACTAACATTGTTGATTCATTTCCAGTATTTGAGTTGCTTATCCACTACTATTATTGACGTTGTTAATTTACCTCCATTAATTGCATTGTTGATCCAGCTCCATAATAAACATTGTTGAACCATATCCATAATAAACATTGTTAAGCCATTTCCAGTATTTGAATTATTGACCCACTCCCATTATTAATATTGTTGATCTACCTCCATTAATGTTAAAATTGTTGATACGCATTCCTTAATATATTTATTTTAATTTGTTGTTAACTAAATAAAACCTCCTAAATAATAACTAAAAGAACCTGCATTATCTCTGAATATACTCATTTTTAATTAAATACTTATTATTGTGATTATTTATTTTTATATTATAGTTAAACCTAATTAAATGAACTCACAATACATTAAAACACTTTATAATTACAAATGGATAATAAATTATTGACCAATTCTCATTTCTAAGTAACGAAATCAAAAATGTGAATTATATCAATATGACACTTTTAACCTTTTTTAATCCGAAAAATCCAAAATACAATTTATACACATATTTAAGCAATATAATTATATATGTGATGATAGATCTCCATGATCAGAGTTTCGAGTTTTATTGAGTATTCATTGGACATCAAAGTTGAATCAAAGCAGCAAAAGTGAAATTTTCCGAGGAAATTTTGATGTAGCGAATTTTTTGTGTGAGCATTAATAGATCGAAATCACAAGAGAATATAATACCTCGCTACATATACTATTATATTATCATGTGAAATAAGAATGTTGAATCAATATCAACTGAGATATAATAGTATATAAAAAGTATTTTTATCATAGCTAAAAAAGAGATTTTTCACATGACAAAATTCTCAATGGAGAAAAACCATCTATATCCTACATATAACGTATAACGCATTGTTTTATACTTAAACACTTCTCTATGGATATATCTTGCGTAACATATATCTATCAGACTCGCTCATTTATTAAGCTATTAATAAAAATAGTATTCCATGAAAATCGTTTTTCCATTATATTATCCGTGAAATGCGGCGTAAACTTCACAATTCTCCGCTTCGGACGGAAAGAATTGTGTAGCCACACACTTGTCATGCATAATTGTGTATTAAGCAAAACGAAAGCATTCACGATACAAAATCTGTTAATTATGAATACTTTGATTTGACATTGAATATCTCATATCGAGATTTGAGATATCAAAAGCAAATTTTGATTTTTTATTATACAATTTTATTTGTAGTCTAATTATTATAGATATCATCAAATATTGTGAAAGCACAATTTTTGGACCAGAAATTTTATAAAATATTCAAAAGCTCAATTTTTCGAAAGTATTAGATAGCTATTATATTTGACATTGAATGCAAATATACTGTATGTGATTTTTATGAATATTTGTATTAGATAATTTGCGATCTGAAAAAAAAAAATTGAATTTACTAATATTTGTTCTATTTATATAATATACTCGGGCATTATATTATGATTAGAATACAATTGCTAAAATCGAGTCTAATATTTTAGAATATTTTTTTAAGATATTTGGGATTGAGTATTCATACTATGTGATTTTCATAACCAATGAATGTGCCCTACAGTATAAGTAAATATAAGAATAATTTTTTTCAATTTGATATCTTTTTTTAAAAAAGTGTGATTTTCACAAAAAAAGTGTTATAGTAGTAGGATTATAGTCCATACAATACTATTGTAATCTCTTTTCTCGAATTTAATTTTTCAATTAGCAATTCGAGAAAAAAATATTACTTAAAGGACGACTTATCACTCCGAAAAAGACCAAAATTAAGGACGTGATTTTTTTGAAAGTTCGCGATTTTTCAAAAAGTCGCAATTTTTTCCCGAATCGCGATTTTTTAAAAAAATCGAAATTTATCGTTCAAATCGCGATTTATTAATAAATCGCGAAAAAATTCTGTTCGCGATTTTTTAAAAATCGCGATTTAAGCTAAAAATCACAATTTATCATCAAAATCTAGATTTAAAAATTCGGTTGCGATTTTGCCTATTTAACAACTTCAAGATGACCATGCCATGATGCATAAATGAGTGGAGTATCTTCATGTTTATCTTTTGCTTCTTTCTTAGCTCCATTAGAGATAAGATATTTAACAACTTCAAGATGACCATGCCATGATGCTACAATGAGTGGAGTAGATCCAATATGATTCGTTGCATCTTTATCAGCTCCAATAGAGATAAGATATTTAACAACTTCAAGTTGACCATTTTCTGATGCACAAATGAGTGGAGTATCTCCATTTAAATTATTTGCATCTTTATCATCTCCAATAGAGATAAGATATTTAACAACTTCAAGATGACCATTTTCTGATGCTTTAATGAGTGGAGTATATCCAAAATAATCCTCTGTTTCTTTATCATCTCCAACAGAGATAAGATATTTAACAACTTGAAGATGGCCATTTGCTGATGCAAAAATGAGTGGAGTTAGTCCATATTTACTCTTTGTTTCTTTATCACAGCCATGTTCAATAAGAGATTTAACAAGTCTGAGAATTCCTTTTTCACATGCAACATGAAGGACATTCTTTTCATTATCATATTTATCTTTTTTAGGAGCTATCTTTTTCCAAAGTTCTTCTTCACATGATTTTGAAATCATTGTTTGATTGCCTTGAGATGAAAGTTCATCAAGAAAATTGTAGATACTTTCGAAATCATCTGATTCCTTAAGTTCTGGAATTTTTGATAGAATTTCATTCTCATTATTGTTTTCATCATTAATCTGATTATCTTTTGTTTCTTTGTTACTTTTTGGAGTTTGATTTTGATTTGAATTCGAATCTGCTTGAAGTGGTGGAATTTTCTCTGTAGAGTCAAACATTTCTTTTGCTTTGTGATCTAAAAAGTCAATAATACCATTAATAATTTCGAGTTTCATGTATTTTTTGATTGATTTCAGTGTTGAAATAACATCTTCTAGGTTTTCGATATGAATATTAGAATTTCGAGTGCAGGTATATAATTTATTTGCTTTTGTAGTATGATATGACTGTTTAATAAGAGCATTGAAGTCGTTTACTGTTAAATATGAAATTTTCATGATCTTTTTGATGTCTTCCGTTTCGAATATATCAAAGAAATTACCTTGTTTAATATAATCACTGATATGAGAAGCAATGTATTCATAATTTTGAATAATGCCTTGACTCATCGAAATGAGAAATCGTAACTTTACAGAATTTTTGGATTTCTGGGCCTCAAATTAGGAAAACAGTAAATAGAATATAGCACATATTAATGTTAGGAGTTTAACTGGTCTTGAACTACTTTTAACGTATCAAAAAAGAAAATTGTACATAAAACAAACTCAAAATATAAAAACCTAGATAAATAAACAAGATAAAAATAATAAGGACATACTAATTCTTGAAAAGAATGACTTCTTCTCGTAAATCTTGCAACATCCTTTAAATTCTATATGCCAATCATGATGCCTTGAAGCTCCTCTGATATGTGAGATGATTCTTTATTTGTAATTCATAAATATTCTTGATTTTATCTATTTTGGTATAAAAATTATATTTTCAAAATGGAGTTTTTATACTACTGAATAGTTTTGTAGTTAAAAAAGGAATAAGTTCTGTAGTAAGCTCTTTTATTATATGCTTTCTCAGCTATTTGACCTTTTAACGCCAGCGGCGGAGTTTGAAGACGTTGCGAACCTTCCAGTCAGCATAGCGGGATGGGCGGAGATGGCGGAAGCCATGGCCGACACCACTGAGACCACGGTGCTTGCGGCCGGCAGCTGTGAGGCCACGAGCTTCACGGCGTGTGTGGACGGAGTCGCAGATCCAGTTGAGCTTAGCATCGTGCTGGATAGCTGGGTGGACTGGATCGACGAAGATGCACTCGAAGTACTTGAAAGCGCCATCCTGGTTAACCCAGTAAGAGTTAAGGAGGCGGAGGGATGGGAGTTGCTTACCAGCCTTCTGTTCAGCGATAGCCTGAAGGTTAAGGGATGGTGTTAATTTGTAGATATGGTGTGTACGTGGCTTACCATACTGGCGGTTCTTAGAAGCAACACGCCTGCGGGAGCCCTTGCGTACGCGGATACGGTAGACAACCATACCCTGCTTGGCCTTGTAACCCATGCGGCGAGCCTTATCTGGGCGGGATGGATGTGTAAGGCGGACAAGCTCTGGAAGTTGGCGGTATTCCCAGCAGCGAAGGCGGAGGATGAAGCGCATAACTTCACTCTGCTTCTTGGTGTAGAGTTCACGGAGGTATGTGAAAGCACCCATGAAAAAGGAAAGACCACAACCGCTTGCCAATGCACTTTTTATTTTCAAATAAGGTTAATTTATTATTGCAATCTTTTAATATTTTTAGAATATACTATAGTACTTGTTTATAAATTGCGCTTTTTTAAAGGTAAATTTATATCAAATTTTTTTATGAGTGATAACAAATCATTTAGACTTTCTTCACTGGGCCTCCAGAATGTCGGAATTGGCCATAAGACTGATAATTTTACCCTTGTTGTTGGTGATAAATCTTATAAATGCAACAAATTTTTTGTCGATTTTATATCTCCAAAAATTGCAGAAATTCATTTAATTGATCCTTTATTGGATACATTTCAGCTTGATATTCCAGATCCAAATGGCTATTTTTCAATTTTATTAGATCTCATGAACGGAAAACCAATCAAATTACAAACAGAACACCTTGAATTTCTTAAAAAAGCTGCACATGCATTGGGCAATAATGAATTACTCCTTAAATTATTAGATATTCCAAATGAAAATATCAATTATCGAAACGCTCTTTCAGTATTAGAAGAAAAACTACCTTATGGACTTGATGTTACAAATGAGATCAATATTATCGCTTCATCTTTTTATAATATTAAATCAAAACTTCTTGAAGATTTGGATATCGATATTTTAATGAGAATATTAAATTCTCCGAACCTTGTTATAGAATCAGAAAGAAAACTATTCAAATTTGTTAAGAGAATTATAGAAAATAATGAAGAAGGACAAGTTTTATTATCCTCAATTAACTACACTCAACTTCCTGATGAAGATATGGAGCAATTTGGTAAAATAGTTCAATTTGATGAGTCAAAGACTTTGTTGTGGAACTCATTCCAGTCAAGACTTTTATTGGAGTGTAAAGTCGTACAGCAAAAGACTAGATACAACAAGAAGATTGCTAAATGTTTATATGTTGAAGACAAAATGTTCGATGGTATCTTTAATTATATTAGAAAACTTAATAAAGGTGTAAATCCAATTGATTGTGGTGCTGTTTCAGCTAAAGTGCAAGTTTCGGAATGTACAATTAAGATTAGAGAGTTATTTGAGCGAGACACTCATCCAAGATGGTATTTGACAGAAAAAGATAATAATTTCCTCCAATTTGACTTTATTAATGGAAAAGTTTCAATGAATGGTTATAGTTGGGGTAGTGGAAGTGAGAGTAGCTACTGGGAATTCCCTGTTTCATATACTTGGGAAGGATCTGAAGATAATGAGAACTGGACACCAATAGATATCAAAGATAACAACGAAGAAATGGGTGGAAATGAGAAAACTCATCACTGGGACTGCGAAAAGAGCCCGTTCTTCAGATATATCAGATTTAGATTAAGAAACGTCCAAAGAAGAGGTGGCCTTTACTCAACACAGCTTGAATTATTTGGTTTCTATGAAGAACCAAAAGAACAAAATCCAAATAAGTAAAAAAAATTTAAAAAGAAAATTATAGAACTATTTATAAATAAAAGTTCATTTATAAATAATACCCCCTGTTTATAAATAAAGTCCAATTGGAAAAACCATCGCAATTGGAAATATCCGTCGAGATTGGAATTTCCAACATCTCAATTTATTTATTCGGAAATTAAAAATAGAACCCCTTATGTATGAATACCTAATGAACGGCAACACAAAACAAAGGAATTTGAAAATTGGAAAAAAAACAAGAACTTTTCGTTTTCACGATCAGTCAATGTAAAAAATTAATTGGTGTATAATATCTTTAAAAATTTTAAGTTTTTATCTCAATATCAAATTCCAATCTCGCTTTAACCATTCTTCCAAATGGATATTATCCATAAATAGGTGGTATTATTTATAAATAAACTTTTATTTAAAAATAGGTCTAATGATAAAAGTGGTTTTCGGTTTTTTCAAAATTTTTATATTCAATCTTTATCCATAATTCTAAAATTGAACGAAAATATCTTTTCCAAATAAGACCGAGAAAATTTCCGTCATCATTCAGTTCATTTTAGCATGAGCAGTACCAACTCCAATGCTTCTTATATCAATAAACGTGAAAAATTGTGTGGCATATGCGAGGAACCTTTGGACGGACCATGCTCCAAATGCAAAGGAAACAACCACAGTGGATGTGCAACAGTTCGAGGTCGATGTGGTGATGCATTTCACGAACACTGCATAGATGAGTGGCTGAAGTTCTGTGATGTTTGCCCATGGTGCAACAAGGAATTTGAGTTTACTTAAAAATCATATACTTGCAGGCAAGTATTTTTCATCATAATTTTACGAATAAAAACAAGCAGTATTATTAGCTCCTTATCTTTTTTATTTTTGATATAAAAAGATTCCTCAAAATTGATAATATATGTAGATCATATAACATATACGATGAAAAAATAGTTTAAATTCCTTTGAAATAGAGGTTTCAAATACATCTCAGCGCAGCTACTTGAAGGCATAATGAGGATTTATATGAAAAACTAATAGTTAACCAATAAAATGAAAAGAAGTCAAAGAGAAAACTTGCGAAAAACCTCTGTATCATATTGTGTCCATTACCAATTAGGACTATTATCGATGAATAGATATAATAGGCTGAAAGCACAACTTCAGAATCCCAAAGCAATTCAACTTGTATACAAGGTTACATATGCGAATCTGATTTGACCCCGATATATTTCCATGAGATGTTAATGAAATATGTATTACTCATATAATCCAAACAGAAAAAGATAGAAAAATAAATGAATTATGTTATTTGAAGATTTTATGAATCATATTGTATCTTTATTAAAAATAATAGCTAATTTATGATCTAGTTTCGAATAGTTTTGAGTTTAATAATTCCAAATTTATTTTGAAAATAAAATTTTCATAAAAAATATAAAGAAAAATTCTTCCATATTTATCAATTTTAATTTTTTTGGCGGTTTTCCAATTATGAAAATGACTTCAAAACATTATTCACGTTGAATGTCAACTAATAATTATGAAATTCAAGAAGAATGACGAAATTCAATATAATTTTACAAATTACCATTGGTAATTGATTAAAAACATAAATATTGAACACTGAATATCTTTATTACAAAACAAACACTTTATAAAGTCTGTGAATCTCTATATTTTCGCAAATTTTCAGCCATTTCTGCAATTTCACTAATATCTTCCTCCGTTCCCATAAGTATGTCCTCAATTTGGGCATCATCATATTCATTTATGGCAATTACAGCGTCCGGTCCTAGAGAATTGTTTAAAAAGTACAAAATTCTAGTTAAAAGAGGGCAATATTTCAACGGATTATCACTCATTTCCATAACAGAGCCCAATGACAAAATAAATCCTTTCTGAACTAAAGAATTTATCACATCAATTGAAAAATAATTAGAAGCAGCCTGAATAGCAGAGATGCATTTCTTGGATGTCATGAAATCACTGTTCCTTGCCATTTCCGCTAAAGCCGAAAAGATTCCATGAGATTCTAAAAATGTGGCTGAATCCGGAAAACTTTTAACGATTTGCTTAATTAAACAACTTGTTCTGCTTGTGGTTTTTGGTTCCAATATAGCAGACCTAATAGAATCCCAGTTCAAATGGGGAATTAAGTGATTTACAATAAATTCTTCATCGCATTGAAGGCAAATCTCAAGAAATGATAGTTCTGCATCATCAATTTCACGGTCATGCGAAAAAATCGTTTCAATTATACCTTTCTCAACAATTAAAGCTGTTAATCCTGGTTCTTGAGATAAAACACTTGCAAGAGCATAGAATATACCAGGACATGCATCAATAACATTATAGTATTGGATACATGCGTCAATAACAAGCTCGAAAAATTCAATATTAATATGATTCATTTGTATAACGCAAATCGAAGCAAAAACATTGAATATTTCGTTAATAACAATAGGAAATCCAGAGCACATGTTAAAATAGTTCATAATAAGATCAATAGCGTTAGAAATGCATTCAGTCGAAAATTTCGGACAACAAAGAGCTCTCTGAATTGATTGGACAATGTAAATAACATAATCTATTTGTTCATCACTCTGCGGAACGATCAGTATCGAAATCATGTGAATTAAAAATTCATCATCGATTAAATCATATCTATATTCAGGTGGAAACTTCATAATTTGAAGAAGCAGGATCGATATATTTTTAGAGTATTCATTAAATGGCTCTTTAAGCGTATCAACTAAGAATTCAAGTATTTGATGTTTTTCAAGTATATTAACAGCCAAATTATATTCTATATTACTCTTATTAGTGCACATTATCAGCTGCTGAATACAATTTGCAAAGTCACTGAATTGTTGGTTTTGATAAGAAGAAATGAGATTCGAACAGCAGTAATTAAAGTAATCTGACGAAAACAGCTCGCTTTTTGTGAATTCTATATACAGTGTATTGTAATCTTGTTTATTTTGAGTAGACTTTGATGGATTCATTAAAATAACCCTGAAATTTTATGTCAGACCCTACCTTTCGAATTAATGTTTTCTCTGCTTTTTATTAGATATATCCTTCCGGGCCGACATTTAATCGACACAGGGAAAGGTGAACTCAGTAAGAAGCCAGAACACTTTTACTATCTGACATGCAACCCTCATGATGATTGTCCAGAGAAAATGATAAAAGTTTTCGGAAATGAATTCGAGAAGAAGTCATTTATCATCAGAAGAGACCTTTACGTTGCATATATAACACGAGATGAAGCAAGAAATGCTCTTCGCGCCGGAATTAAAATTCAGAAATTACCGAAACGTGATAAATTAACATACAAACACATTTTAAATACAACAAATCAGTATATCGCACTCATTGCACCAGGATGCAAGGTTCCTTACCGTCACGGATATATTGGAGATAAAGGTTTGATTTTTGAAAGCAATGAATCAGTCAGTGACGTGCTTACCAAAGTCTCAAAGATACCATGCGTCAGAATGGTTGAACAATTACCTCCAACTCACTTAAATACTCGTTTTAATCGAAACCTTGCGCAATATCCGAAACAAGACTGGGGCAACAAAACACTTTTCAAGTACAGTACAGTAAACAAGTTTTCAGACAAAGGACTTGGAGGCCACGGCCAAATTGTTTCAATTTCTGATACAGGCTTAGACGCTCAACTCTGCTGGTTCAAGGATCCAGATCAAGATGTACCAACAGAATCATTCAATGCTATGGACCATCGTAAAATTCTTACTTATTTCAGATACGCAGATGATAAAGACGGCCGCCATGGCCATGGCACGTTTATTGCAGGCATTATAGCAGGCCAAGCTGTTTGCCCGGACGATGACGATGATGATCTTTGCCCAGGAACAATTTATGATGGCGTAGCTCCTTATACAAGAATTATTGTTAATGATTTATTCAGAGAAGGCTCAGATCTTATCCACTGGCCAGGTAATGGTACTGATGTTTTCCTTTACCCTCGATATATGAGCAGCGCCGTTCAATATCATGCATTTGATTTCCAAAGTGGCTCAATTATCAGTTTTGCCATCGATTGGATCCAGTATTACATGCCACAGATGCTTCTTCTGTTCTCCGCTGGTGATCATGGCCGCATTCAAGGCAGCAAAATCCCATCTCCTGGAGATTGTAAAAATGTCTTGACAGTTGGAGCACTCTACCCAGAGGAATTCGGTATGAACCAATACGATGAATCATCCCCTGTATACGTTATTTATAATAATAACACGTATTTGGGTTATTGCGATCCAGCACATGGAACAACAGTCATGGACTTAACTTCGAGGCATGATTACTTACCAGAAGGATTAACATTCCCTATTGGTGAAAGCGAAAAAGAGGTTTTCATTGCCAAAGAAGAAACAGATATCTCATCTAAAGAATTATGTGCGGCAGTCATAGTTTTCGGTACGACAAAGCTTACAGGAAAAATCAAGAGACCAGTTATAAGGCTTCCAACTTCAGCAGAAGTTGATTTCAACACTGATGGAGATATCAAATTTGATTTTTACTACGGAGCCGACGAAAGGCACCTCAAATTCGGTATCAGTAACCTTCACGATACAACTATAAGAGGTCCAGTTTCTCTTGCGAGGTACAAACCAGAAGTTGTGATGCCAGGAGGCCCTGTTTGGGGTCCAGATGCCGGAAATAGAGAAGGAGAAACATGTGGAAATGACGGCGTTAGGCTTGGCGAAGGTACTTCTGTTGCTGCTGCATTTGCTGCAGGAGATATGATGATTATCAGACAGTATCTCAAACACGGATGGTACCCACGAGGTGAAAAGAATAAAGACGAAGTTATTAAGTCCTCAAATCACATGCTTCGCTGCATCATGGCCGGAATTTCGGATCCGGTCAAAGGACACCCAGACGGAGTCGGTTTTGGCCGGCCACGGCTTGAACGTTTTATCATCCTTCCTCAAGATTACAACCATACTAAGGGCCAATTGTACGGATACAGGTTATTCCGAAAGACAACAAACAAAGGAACGGCCTACGAGCAATTCGACTTCACCCCACAGGAAGATGGTGAAATGAATGTTACAATGGCTTGGAATGATCCACCTCACGACCCTTGGGCTCCATCAGATGTTTTATTCAGGCTTGATTTAAGAGTAGAGGATTCAGAAGGTTCCCCTGTAAGAGTAGGAAACAGAAAGGCCGAAGAATTCGCTGCTTTCGATGCCCATAACACTTGTAAGAGAATTGATATCAAATGCAAGAAAGGAGTCACTTACCATGTATTCGTTTTAATCCATGATATCGTTTACTATAACCGTGTAAACTATACGTTACTTATTACGGCTCCATTTGATCATTTCGATGATAATCAGGCTCCAAAGCAAATTGCCCAGCCAACATTACAACCAAGATGCCCTAATACATGCGAAGGTTCCGGAACATGCGAAAATGGCTTTTGCGTCTGTCCGGAAGATAGATTTGGTGATATGTGCCAATCCGAACTCCGAAAAGTTGATGAAGACGAGAGAATCGAAGAAGATCCATTCCAGCAATACGAATGGAGTATGTACGAGTTCACAGTTTCGAAATGGGGACCACAAAACAAATTGGTCATTGAATTGACACATACTCCTGATGCAAACGTATTCTGGATGTTTTCTATCAACGAACCACCAACATGGCATCATACACAACAAAGCAAATTCCATCATGATTTCGTAATCTTAGAAAACTCAAAGATTATTCTGGATTATCCTCATTGGGACTTCTTAGAGACTGGTGATAGGATTATTTTTGCTGTTTATTCCTTGGATCCAAAAGATATCGCTTATCAAATTAAATTCTCGGAACTTTCTGTGACACAGCAACAACCCCAACAACCAGCTCAGCCTCAAGAGTAATCTAGTATCATAATTATTCAATTTTTCTGTTATTTATAGATTTCATTTTGTTAAATTCTTTTTTTTTTAACAATCAAAATAGATATATTAAAAATTTTAATACTGTAACAACTATTTCTGCTTTTTTGTTATATTTAAGCCATATCTTCAAATAAATCTTTTGAAATCTTTCTTCAAATACAATCAAATATCACGATTCTTAATAATAAGTTCTAATAAAATCTATGATGCCCAATAAAATATCTGGGAGCTTATTTATCACTTGAAATTTATTGGAAAAAGAGACCATAGGCTATAATCACTTAATCTTACAACCACATATTCTTTGTTATTCTGATTCCTATAGTTTTTCAATTAACAAAGCCAGAGGAAAAATTCATCCCAATACAGTAACTCTAACAAGGGCGGACTATTATGATCGGTTGATTTCATGGGCATCATTAACATGATTAAATACGTCATGTTAATTGCAAAATTTAACTGTGATATTTTCATTGAGAAAAGTTATGTATTCCATTGCAAAAATTACATAAATGGTGATAAGATAATAATAACCTGTTTAATAAGACATATGTCATACATATTTTAATTAGCAATTTTATTTTCAGGGACTCCATAAATATGATTATGTTTCTTAGTTGCTCCTTCGAATAAGAATCCTTCTGGAGCATGGAATGGAGGAGCACCATCTTCATCAACATGAATTGACATTTCAATCTCAGCTGGAAATGCCTCTTCATTAGCAGATTGTAGAACGAACTTATCAGATACTACTGTATTTGGCTGGAATCCAGAGATGAGGAATTCTAATTCGCCAATTTCTTTATCGCCAAGGAAGTGATGCTTGAAAAGGACAACAACAAAAGAAGAATCTTCTTCATGTTTGAAATGGAATTCCCATGTATGATTGATGTGATGCTTTTCGCCTGCCTTCAAAGCATATGAAAATGGTTGAAAATTGTGTCTTGGGCCAACACAGAGGATCAATTCTGCCTTATCAGTAGCTGCATATGATCCAAGGTCAATGCTTCGAACTTGGATGTATACCTTTTTCATTTTAGACATGAGAAAGAATGATTTGAATGAGTCACTTTTATATCAAAATGGCATCATTACTCTTACATGTTTATTAATGGTTTATTTGTATGTTATACTAAGGTAAATCAATGTTGCAAATTTGACCAAAACGTTTTTTTTCAGAAAATTGAATTCACGATCGGCATCGTTAGTTGACCGGACAAGCATAAAAGTTTTAAATTGTGCAATTTTCTCATCCCAAAAAACTATGTCAAAAATAATTGAAATATTTCAATTTTCTCAAAGTCGAAAAAAATCGACTCTTTACAAATCACGTGACAAGGATAGAAAAATAATAGAATAATCAAGAATAACGATCACAATTTTTTTTTGCTGTTCGTAAAAACCGTTTCATTACATATAATGGCATCAAGTAGATTTTGGAGCTACCGCGCTTTCATTTATTCATACAAGATCTCAAGGAAGCTCCTCTTTCAGTCCCACTAGTAAATTTAAAAATAAAATTGAATAAATTTGAAGAAAATCATTACAAACATAAGTTATAAATAAAAAGGAGTAAAATTAAATCGGATATATTTAGAATTAGAAATATCTGAAAGTAAATAAAATAAAATAAAAAAAAAATATAATAAAATTAATAATCTTGGAAAACAACACCGATGAGGTTTTGAGGTGCCTTAGCGCATTTTTCACCTCTCATTGTCTCAAACTGGAGTGGAGACAAAGAAGTGATTGCGACGTATTCTCCAGGGTTAAGCATGATGCTTTCAGCGATTTCGTCATTGGCCTTTCTAAGTACAACACCCAGAGCGATTCCGATTGGCTGGATGCACTTTGTTGGGACGAATCCAGTCAAATGAGTGACAGGATGCATTACGTAAGTCCAGTCCTCGTGGGTTCTCTCGAGGAGAAGGAGACGGCGACCGCGAACGCAGTTCATTTCATTCGGGTTTTCAGCACGGAATGAATGAATAACTTCAACGGTGCCAATCGGATCGTAATTCGAAATAAATGATGTAATGGAAATATCGACTGATCTAAAGGCTGGTGTATCGCATTGGAATTCTTCGAATTTCTTGATACTTAAATCATATCTGACAAGATTGCGACTTTTAGCGTAATTTGTCATATCTAAGATCGGATTAATTACTTTGGCAGCTTGCTCGATATGGAAAGCGGCATTTTGCATGTTGGCGGCAACTTTCATGTAAGCGTACATAACAATATCGAAAAGTTCACGGAACATATCGTTTCTGATTTGGCTGAACTTGGCAAACTGTCCAAGTAACTCTTTGAACTTGTCGAGAGCTGTATTACTCTTGTTGACAAGAAGTAATCTTTGACTTTCTGTTTGAGCACGAGCTTCAAGAATAAGTGGCCAGTTTTCTTGGATTGGTTTCTTTTGCTTGTCTGTAACTGATGATTTCTTTGCAAGTGAAAGAGTGCAATCGTTGATTTTTTCTTGGGCTTTGACGTATTTCTTATCTGCTGTCGCCACGGTCTTTGTTAAGACTTGTCTAAGCATGGTTAAGTCATTGATTGGCTCCTGAGCATCAGTAAGTGTCTGCTCTGCTTTAGATTTGATATTTGGTTTCGGATAGTGCTGTAGTTCGGTTGATTTGTCTTTAATTGTTTTAGACATTTCACGGAATTGATCGTTTAATCCAGCAAGATGCTCCGAAACGACTTTGATCGCATCTGCTTGAGTACCGGGGAATCCCATCAAAGGAATTTCTCCTTCAGCGATCTTAGGAAGATGGTCTAATTTAAACTGTAATGGCTTTTTGTCTTTGTACTCTTCTGATAAAACAAGAGCGAATTTATAAAAGTATGTTGCTATTTTGAGATTTTCATCGTTCATAACACGAAGAAGCTCTTTGGCTTTAACAAGTCTTTCGTTGAGAATATCAATCACTGTTTTTTGTTGATTGTGCTTGCTCATTTTTTGTTACAAAAGTGTTTGATACTTTTTTTTGTCAAAAAAGAGGTGGAATTTAATTACGTCCTTTATAATACTATATTCATAAATGTTATTTTTCCCAGCTCCGATTTGATTAACTCCAAGTTTTTCGATATTTTTCAAATGTGAAGTGAATTTTATGGCTCAAAAAATGAGGATAATACTCATCTTTGTTTACAACACAATAATTGATTAGTATTTTATCATACTTTCAATTTTAGAATAAGAAATTTTGCGAATTCTTTATTTAATACTATAAATTTTTGCAAATTAGCATACCCTTCAGCTAAAAAGATGTTTTTAGAGTGTCTTAACCAGATAAGAGTCCTAAATTTATTTAGTAGTATATGAGGGCGGGTTGTGTGACATTTTTTGTAAACATATGATTTCATTCAATATTGAACGATTTTGTATCATTTTTTGTAAACATATGATTTCATTCAATATTGAACGATTTTGTATCATTTCTTTTAACATATGATTTTATTCAATATTGAACGATTTTGTATCATTTCTTTTAACATATGATTTTATTCAATTTACACGTTGTCAATTCTTCAAATAATTTTTTATTATTAGCATAATAGTCATTAAATTCTTCAACAGATGAAAAAATTTTTATTTAATGATAAATGAAACCGATTTTAAAAATAAATGAAACAGAGGAGGAAGTGTTGTAAACAGAAATTCATCAAAAGTGACACCTCAGAAAAGCTAAAATATTGAATTTTTGGAACTTTTGATAGAGCACGTTTTTAAATATTAATTAAAGTAAATGTATATTTTGTAAAGATTCTTTTTAATAAAAAATAAAATTTTGAAGAAGAACACAAAATCTTCTGAAAAATAATATCACATAAACTCATATTATTTTCTAATATATAACTATTTTATATAAAAATCAAATTCAATGATCTTAAAAGCGAATGATAAACCTCAAAATTTACGAATATAATGAGTGGGAATATAATGCTTATCTATCATAAAACCATATGAAATATCAATTTTTGCTTTACGCCTAATTTTTGACGACAATTAGCAAAAAATGTTAAATGTTAACACTCAGTCCATTTGAATATGAAAAATAAAATTGACTTTGATTAAATGTTTTTATTTATCATGCAATTCTTCTTGCGACCAAAGATTTGAATAAAAGTTCAAAAAATAAGATAGCTTAAAAAATAATATACGGTAGTGTTTACTAATAGATGAATAGTATATAAATTCTATTAAAATGGATTTGATCCAAAAAAATATAAAACCAAAAATAATTGTTATTAATTTAAATGAAGAAGTAATTAAAACGATTTGATTTATGATCAAATTTTATATATTTTTTTGGATCAAATCCATTTTAATAGAATTTATATACTATTCATCTATTAGTAAACACTACCGTATATTATTTTTTAAGCTATCTTATTTTTTGAACTTTTATTCAAATCTTTGGTCGCAAGAAGAATTGCATGATAAATAAAAACATTTAATCAAAGTCAATTTTATTTTTCATATTCAAATGGACTGAGTGTTAACATTTAACATTTTTTGCTAATTGTCGTCAAAATTAGGCGTAAGCAAAAATTGATATTTCATATGGTTTTATGATAGATAAGCATTATATTCCCACTCATTATATTCGTAAATTTTTGGTTTATCCTTCGTTTTAAGATCATTGAATTTGATTTTTATATAAAATAGTTATATATTAGAAAATAATATGAGTTTATGTGATATTATTTTTCAGAAGATTTCATTCTATATGCCTATGAAAAGTACTCTCAAAACTAACTTTTTCCTAATTATAATTAAATCTAGAATATTGTATTATGCTTAGTATTATTTCATTTTTCTCATTCAATTTAGAATTTACAAATGTCAAAAAATTGAGAGCTGTCACTTTTGATGAATTTCTGTTTATTACAGAAGAAATAAATGAAAGTGAAAATGTTCAACAAAAAATAAACGTTGTTAAACCAATTACTGATATAAAAATTTTTTCATCTGTTGAAGAATTTAATGACTATTATGCTAATAATAAAAAATTATTTGAAGAATTGACAACGTGTAAATTGAATAAAATGTTTAAAGTTGATGGATTCAAAATTTCAAAAATAAAAGGAGTGATTAGTTTGAAATCTATTCCTCAATCAAGAATCACCTCATTAATGAAAATTGATGATTTAACAAAAAGAATAAAAGAGATTGAAGAAAGAATGAATCAAATAATTGATTTCATAAATTCAAATAATCATTAGTTTCTTAAAGTTCTATGTTGAACTCAATCTTTATTTTTAAAATCGGTTTCATTTATCATTAAATAAAAATTAGAATATAAGTGATGAAATATATTTTTTAATTAATATTAAATCAGAAATGGCGGCAGGATTCTTTAAAAAATTATGGGATGGAATTAAGAAAGCTGCGGGTTGGGTTTATAAAAAGGTTATTAAACCGAGGATGTTTTATTGTCGTCTGGAAAAGTGACAAAATTATTATTGTCGTCTAAAAAGGTGACAAATTATTATTGTCGTCTGGAAAAGTGACAAAATTATCATTGTCGTCTAAAAAATAGATTTTTCAAGCATGTTTCGGTACCTAAATAAAGGAAGAACATCAATTCCATCTATGTATATAGTATGCAAACACGCATGATATATGGAGTAGCCCTTTATCTGGCTAAAAATCCTATTATTTGAAAATTCGCATTGTCGTCTAAAACCGCCAGACGACAATAATAATACCCCTATTAAACCTGTTGCAAACTTTTTGGCACCAGTAGCGAAAACGGCAGGAACTATCATAGGTGGAGTATTAGGTACTAAAGCAGGTAATCCGGCGATGGGAGCACAAGCAGGTAACGCAATTGGTGGAATAGCTGAAGGAATACTTAATAAAATAGGAGGTAGATAGTGGAAAAAATAAATAAATATTATTTTTATCTTAGTATCGGTTGTAGTCTTTGATAAACTTTTTCTCCTTTATTTAAAATTTCTCTTATTGGGGCTGCTTTTGGTGTTATTGATTCAGCAACGTCACTAATTGCTTCTTTATTCTTAAATATCCAATTTGCACCCTTCTTCAATGTTTCCCAAACTTTACTCGCTCCTCTTTTTACTCTATCCCACAGTTTCTTAAATATACCTGCAGCCATAGTTGATTATTTCATTAAAATTAAAAATTCATTTCCATCTTTTAATTTTGATTTTTTTATTTATTAATAAATGACGACTAACTATTTAGTGCCAAACACTAAACCAATTAATGGAAATGTATTTCATTCATTCGAAAAGATAAATGAAATATTCGCAAAGAATGATGGAAGAAGATATTATAGAGAACTTGAAAGTTCATGCTATGACTCTGATGCTCCATATTTTGATGATAAACAAATCATTTAAGAATTACAAATCCAGCTCATGATGTGAACCAATTAGGTGACACATATATTAAACGCAAAGTTAAAGTAACTCTAGTTTCAAATAAAGCTTTCACATGTGATGCCGCTTTTAAATGCATGCGTTTATTCGTTGGTTACAAATCATCAAATCAAAGCTTTAAACAATTAGAAGTAGAAACTGAAAGAGGTGATGCCGTTATCTTCAAATGGATTGCGCCCGTGAATCTTTCGCATTTGCAACATATAAACCAAAATCAGAAAGGAAAGTTAAAAAGTTTGTTCATTCGTTATATAATAATGTTCAAAAATATGATAACTCAGTATGTGGTAATATATTGACCCTTCAGAAGTTTTCAAGAACGCAAATAAAGAAGTTGATATCACTTTTGATATGATTATTCCGGTAAATGATTTGTTAGCATTTCAGGCGTTCGATGATTATCCTAAATCATTTGGTGATATCATTCTTAAATATTATGTTTTCAGGGATACTTTAGTATTTTGTCAGGTTGACCCGTTAAGAGTTGCTGATTTACAAAATTACGTTTATGAAAAGATAACTGATGAAAATTATGAAAAGATTATGAATCATGTTTTATAAATATGATCGCAAATCCAACAAATCGGACTTCCTGCCAAATTAATTACAAGCTTAGCCGCTACATCTGCTGACGCAACAGTTGATGACGTTATTATTTCATGCACAAAGATGGAAGTTTTAGAGGATAAATGCATTACACCAGGATACGGTTTAAATTGAAGAATCAGTTAAAGCAATACCACGTTTATTTAGTAAGGAAGATCCATTCATGATTCCAGCTCAACATATTGACGTTCGTTCACTAAATGGAGGTTGCATCACTCCTGAAGGTATTAGCTCGGATTTCTCATACGCTCTTCATAATGTTACAGATGTTGTGTTAACATTTCCGAAGAATGCAATGCAAAGAACGGTTTTAGAAAATCCAATGCTTCGAGGTCTTCAGGTCACTATAGATTCCAGAAACTTCCCCGATCAAGCGATGACCACAGTGGGTGACATATTCTTTACACGTATGCTTCAAGCTTCTGATTTAGATGGAGTGAATGAATGCACGGAAGAATACGAGGACTCATTAACTAGACCACTGAATGATGATAATGGCACGCCATTAGCTAGAACATGGAAAGACCAAACTTCATTCTTATGCACTATTCCAGTTCAACGTGATGGAGCGGGTATATTCTTTGATGGATTAGAAACTTTCAACTCACAAGTTACAGTACAAGTGAAAGCTTATCCAATCATTCAGGTGAAAATGACACTTACTGTTCAAAGGTGACAAATCATCCTCAGGTTTGGTTTACTAGGACTACATATTGGACATGGACACCAGATGAAGGTTTGAAATATCATCCAACAGGTACACCACCGCAGTATAGAAGTTCATATGATGAAATATTGATGAATAGAAATGTTTAAATTATAAATTTATTTTTTGATTAAATGGATTTAAATTCATCCACCCCTTATGAAGAATTAGCAGGAGTATATAATACATACGTAGATGATATGATTAATGAAGCATTGAGTGATAATAGAAAT